CGTGTGCCTTGCAGCACGGATGACTTTGTTGCAACTGGTGGACTAACACAAAGCCCTGCAGCTCCACCAGGTACGCTGTCGGCTGTTAGAGAAAGGCTTTAGGTACTACCCAAACCCCTGTGGGGTCTTTATCCTTTGACATTATAACTCAATATGACACCATGTGACTGAAACCCCTATGCTTTTCCTACTGTGACAAGTTAAGCCTTATGGATTTTGCTACCTTCCTGATTATATGTGGCCTGTACCATAAAGTGTTTTGGTTTACACTGTACAAATGTTATCCTTATGGCACAGCTCTGTACATAATGCCTTGTTAAAATAAACACTTTTTCTAGGAAAAACGAATCTGTAGTTCTGGATCTTGGCTTATTTTCTGTCTGCAGTTGTATACATTGACAAACTACATTATTAAATGTTGTTTTACTGTTATATGGGATGGCCTCTTGTGCAGTTTGGTGCAAGTATATTTAGCTGATTTCTTTATGTTTTAGCATTTGAGTAAACCATAGCCCTTGTAACATTTCAAATTTAAAGTACTGTTAAGGGTGAACTCTCGACAATTCAACATAACTGAATGCAGTATTGAACCTTTTTAATTCAGGGTACAACAAAGCAATATACTTCATCTTATCACGTGGTCTAGAGACAACACTTGAGACAAATGCATTGAGAAGATAAAAACTTGGACTGCATCTGTTCCATTTTGAAACCTTGATGCAAGATTCTTAAAAAATCATATCCCCTCACTGACGGGAGGTCGAAGTCCCTAATGAAAGATATCGGCTGTTAAGCCTTCAGACTATATAATGTAAAAATAAATGATCTTCAGTTTACTGGGCATCGGAAGGTAAACGTAGCATTTTTAGAATAAATGTGACTCTTTTGTACTTTTAATAACAGATGGGCTGAACATTTGTTGTTGAATTGCCTTTTTAGTATGGGCGCAATCCTAATCACCCGGAGTGGACGCTCAAAGAAATCTGCTTTGTCCATGGTGCGGATCAATCTGCCACCATGTTGCAGGAAAGGCTTATTGATTTTTCTCCAATAATTAATTGCATTCACTGCCAGCTGTGGCCCTGAGCTGTTAGCAATGTTATGGCAGAGAAACCTTTATGTAAGGCTGCACTGTGGCTACCTACGTTCCTTTCTTCTGTCTTTTCATCTTCCCTCCTTAGCCTCTACGCCAGGGGTGTCCAAACCTCTTTCACCGAGAGCCACAGACAAGGCTGGGCCACTCACTGGAGGTATATTGCCTGATAAGTTAAGTTTTAAGTAAGCAAAATTAATCAAATGTAGGTAAATGATACTTGAAAATGCCTTAAGAAAAAAACAGCATATATCACAGGTCTACATAGGGTTTCATTTATTTTTTTGGCAGCTCATCCCTCAGTTCGCTAATAAGGGGAAATAAGTTATTGGGCCTTTTTTTTTAATCAATGTTAGAAAATGTTTCCAACTTGAATTGACTGTATTTGAAAGTGAGCTTAACACATGAATGTGTAATGTATTTTTACATATATTTAAGAAGTACAATATAAGACAAGCACAAGTTTCATTTGTGGGCCATATTACATTATACTTTTAGAATTAGCTGAGGGCCGATTCAAAATGGCCCCCGGGCCTTAGTCTGGACACCCCTGCTCTACATCAATCAATCAATGGTCAATGTTTATTTATATAGCCCAATATCACAAATGTTACATTTGTCTCAGTGGACTTCACAGTTTGTACAGAATATCAGTATGACAATACGACACCCTCTGTCCTTAGACCCTCACATCGTACAAGGAAAAACTTCCAGAGAAAACCCACAGTTTAAAGGGAAAAATGGGAGAAACCTCAGGGAGAGCAACAGAGGAGGGATCCCTCTCCCAGGACGGACAGACGTGCAATAGATGCCGTGTGTAAATTGAAAAGATAATACATTTGCAACATAGGTAGTCCAAATGTTTGGAAATCCATGTGTGTATAATAGGAAGATGAATCCATGAGGATATCCATTCAGGACTTATGATCCAGGACCACAGCCACGACTCAAGATCCAGGACTCGCAATCCATGACACAGGACCGCAGGATCATCCATGATTCCGGATCCCGGCGTATAATATAGACACCAAAAAGAAAGAAATTTGGGGAAGCTGGGTTAATCGGAACATGAGAGTACACAGGTATAGACAGAGAGAAGGAAGAAGTAAGATGTCCCCCGACAAACTAAGCCTATATCAGCAAAACTAGGGGCTGAATCTAATCAGCCCTAACTATAAGCTTTATCAAAAAGGAAGGTCTTAAGCGCACTCTTAAAAACGGATAGGGTGTCTGCCGTCCGAACACAAACTGGAAGCTGATTCCACAAAAGTGGAGCTTGATAAGAAAAGGCTCTGGCTCCCATTGTACTTTTAGAGACTCTAGGAACAACCAACAACCCTGCATTCATTGCCAATTATTTTCTATTGTCTTAAACCATTATCGGGCCTAAAAATGAAAATAAGATTCTTGGATTTCATTTATGCATTAAACTATGGACCATGATTTCCCCCGTAAAATAAGACAATGCTAGCCAAATTGTACATATATTGGTCTTGTGGAACATTTAACACTTTCCTTTATGTTAAAAAATCCACCATTTCAGAGTTTTAATTATGCAAAAATAAACTTTATTGCAACGTATGATGAGCAGAGTAAATACTGCTAACCACAATGGAGAATGGTATTATGCAACTTAATTGATGAGTAAGGAAGCTGTTGAGCACAGAAACAGATAAAGAGTTCAGTAAAGTAGACCAGGTTATTCTTCAAACCAGGCGCTAAATAAGAATAGACGTGCAGATTTTGACAACTTGCACTGTGTGGTATACAGGAATTGAACAGCCATGAAGTAAACACTAGTAAACTGCAAGTTTGTAAAAGAAAGTAGCTCACTCAAAAATAAACAAACATTGAATGAGTGAATGGATAAAATACTGTAATGCTATTCACATCATGGAAGAAATAAAAGTAACTCTTAAAATATGGACACTGTTTTGCAAAAGGCTGTATAGAAAAAAAACATCTTCAGCTTTTAGTAACAACTTCACACATTTGCAGATAATACAAAAGAAAAATACATTTCATAAAAATACTACCACTTGCTTTTTTTCAATATGGCTTTTGGGCTGTGCAGTTAGAACCAAACATCGAGATTCATATATTATGTGTTCGTCTTATTTTGAAGTTGTGCTTTTAAAAAGGTAAGTCTGAGTATAGTAGCCAAATGTTTAAATGTTGAAAAATACATTCTCCTTTATGAATTATGAGCTCTTATTATAATTTAAAAATCAATTCTTCCTTTGGTTACGTAAATCTTAAGTAATTAAAAAAGTAAAATGTCTAATATATAATTTCCCATTATGTTTGGGACCTTTTAGGGAAAGGAAATCTATAATATTAGACTATTAGCAAATCTTAATCTTCAAAATAATAATTCATGTAATATAATTCCTTCAAAATAAACTCCAATTAAAGTTAAGCATGGGATCATTTGCATCGTAATAACAAGGAAGCTTTTTCAAACGATAAACAATATTTCAAGTACTAGACCTGATTCAAAATAGAACATAAATATACATTTCATATACATAACAATGTTATCTGCCCTTTTACAGGATAACTCCAAAGAATATTAGAAGTCAATAATAAATAAGATATGTGAACAAATGTGAGTTGTCATCGTGCACTAGCACAAGACTCAGTAGTACAGTTACAATGAGAACAGGTGGAGTTAGGCGCTTACCTCGGGTCAGTTTTCCCACATCACAGTTGGGATGGAGGGAAATAAAACTGACCGAAAACATAACCCTTCATTCTGCAGCTTATCAGAAGAAAAGCTTCATTTCTAATCCTGTCGTTGCCTCCCATACTGTAAGAATGTACAGTAAATGCATTGCCCTTGAGTCGCTCTGTGCCTGGTAGGAAATTAGATTAACAAAAGAGTTTCTGTGGAGACCGGCCTGCCCGAACACATCAAGGCTCAAATGGTCAGCGCTGACTTTATCAAATGTCTTCTTGTGTCAGCTAGGTGCAAAAGAGTCACGTATGTACAGAAAAATTGCACTTGTCCAAATGCAAGTATGAGGAATCTCTGATATAAACTGCTGAGTGAGTGAAACGTGGGCACTGTGTTCACCAGTTTCCCCATTCAGTTTCTACTTTCCCTCCACTGAAATAAACCCACGGTCAAAATCCTTTTAGACTGTAAACTGCTGTTAAGGTAGGGCTTTTAAACCAGAAAATCACTTCTTCTTCGAAAGCCATTCTCAACGTATTATTGCCTCCCTGCCACAAAACGCACATCTTCCAATTGTACAAGAATCCCTGAAACACAAAATGGAACGTACTAGAAAACAGAACCAAAAATATCCTTTGAAAACAAGTGCATACATACCACCTGCTGTGTGAAATATGCCATATCTGCATGCCTAACAACAGTGCACACAAAGCGCCAGAAAGCATCTCTTGTGATAGCCAGTGTTTATACAAAGATCATGGTTAGTATATTGCGTGAAACAACTGACTGTGCAACAATCGAGATGATTATAAATCAGTGAGTAAGTGATGTAAGTGTGTTGTGCAGTGGTTTGTTGACTGAGCTTGTGTGAAGATGCATTTTTCAAAAAAAATCTACTTTCCACGGTCTTTAAAGTAGCTTTCAGCGTCTTTGTGTCCACTCAAATTTGTGCTCTCCAGTTTAATTCAGCGTGACCGGTCTGCATGGCTCAGAAAGCAGGGGGAGGAAAGGGGGGAGTGTAGGGGTGTGTGAGAGTGGAGAAAATGGAGGAGTGTAAGTGTGCGTTCAGGAGGCGTTTAGGTTGTGTGTCCTCTGTGGTTAAGACCGTCGTGTTAGTTCCTTATAGGAGGCAGTATCAAGAACAGTGATCTAATGTGGCGGTGTGGAGATCCTTAAGTCTGCGCCAAAAAAGCAGATTGAGAAAGAGATCAGTCACTGAGCAGCCCTGTGAGGTGTGGCTGTTCTCCGAGGTCAGGCTGAGATGTCTTTTGTGATGTTTTTCAGTGGCACGGTGGCTCAGAAGGCAGTGGTGACAGCGTTTCCTCGCCGCGTGCCAAGGCGGATGATTTCCCCCGGCACCGTGTCCAGCTGCTCGTACGCCAGCCGCCCCTCCTCACCTGCCACACACACAAGAGTCATTATAAACACTGCAACCCCAAGCAGCTTTCAGTGAAGACAAATGACCTGCTACTAATGATCAACGCAGTAGAGATTGATTTTGCAAGAGCAACTGAAGTTAGACATGATATTCACAAAGTCATTATTGCCATTGGTTCTGATAGTTGTAATCACAAATTGCTTCTAGACAGCAATCAACCAAGAGAGGGACAGACAGAGAGAGGGAGTGAGTGTGAGAAAGAAAAGGGATGAATGCAATTACTTTTATAGTTTGTGAAATATACTTATTTCTGCCAAAAGATTGTATCGTCTGAATTTGTATTCTGTTGTTTTAACTTGAAATTATTTGTTTTTAGCAGCAACTTGAACATTAAGCTGGGTATAAAATGTGCTTTTTAAATAAAACAGCCTTGCCTTACAAATGACTTTTTAGAAGGTCAGATCTGGTTTGCAACCTCGGCATATTTATAAATATGCTGAAGAAAATACATTCGTCTTTGGATTTAAAGAAACAGACCATATTAATGACTTTTAAAAGCATGAGGTATTGTTTGTGGCAGCTGAAACAAAACTCAAGCTGAGCCACATTAGTTTTTCCATTAATGTGTTACTCACCAAATGTGAGCAGGGTTTCTATGGCGACATGGCGTAGCTCCTCATCAGCTGAGTCACACAGAGCGACCACCGCCTTGATGCTCTCTACTGCCTACGGACACACAGAAAGAGTAGCTAAATGAATCACAGTCAGTAAATGAGGGATGAATGATTACAGTGGCCATCTTACATAGACATATTATTGTAACATGACAAAATGCGAAGCTATCTTTGAAATAGTATCAGTAGCTATAGTACAGCAGCTCCATATCCCCACAGTATCACGTCTGTATGTATGCCGTTAGAGGACACTGACCTGCAGACAGCTGAGAGCCGAGCAGGCCGCCCTCTGGCTCTGAACTCCAGCCTCTGACAGCGCGTGGGTGTAGCACTCCACTGCCTGTAGACACACACATTAAAACATGGCTTACAGCATCTGTCACAACTATTTAAGATGTTGTTTGCCTCCACACACACATCTCTGTAACAGGCTCGCTCGCTCGATCACTACTCACTCTGGTCCTGAAGTGGCTGTTTGATGCAGAGCAGAGGTATTCGGCTGCGGCCTTGTTGACACGGGGGTCCTCCGCAGTGAGCAGGGAGGCGAGGGCCCTCAGGGAGCTGTTTCGGGGCCACAGCGAGGACACAGGCACCGCCTCCAGTTCCGCTACACACTGAGAGTAGTCCTCGCTGCATAGAGCCTCTGAAAACACCTCTGGGTACGACACACACACACACACACACGTCAAGAGATTTAAACCCAATAATAATACTAAAATAGTTTTCAGTACCGATAATATTTTAGGTCAATTAATTATTCGATAAAATGCTAATTGAAAAAAGTAATTGAAACTATGTATATCTGTTTCCAAGCTGATGATTTTTCTTGATTTGTGAGTATGAAACTCAAAGATATTCAGTTTATTAAGATTTTAAATAAAAATACAGGATATTTCCATATTTGAGAGGCTGAAAAGAACAATTTTCTCAGATTTTTATAATGAATAATTTCAAAATAGCTTGTTTTACATTTGTGGAATAATGGATTAGTCGATAAATGGTTGCAGCTCTAGTTTACAAATTACTGTAGTACACAGGGACCTGTTTTGCCCTGTAGCTTTGTGGATGTCTCCCCACTTTTGCTCACCTTCTCTGGCCAAATGCAGCAGGTGTGTCTCCATGTCCTGCAGCTCATGCTGTAAGATGTAGCCGTGGAACTGAAACACGGTCAGGACGTCCTGGGAGAGCTCAGCGGCGAGGGGACAGTGAGCCGACACCAGATCGCTCCTGTCCACCATCTCACCCACTACCAGACCAATCACTGGAGAGGAGAGAAAGAGATCAGAGGTCAGGGGGAATTGTTTTTAGCCAACTGGAACTGCACTTGCAGAGATCTATGAAATATTTACTATCGATTTACTATTCCATTTAGTCTCTTTAATTGTGTTTTATTTAGCATTTTTAAAACCACATTTGAAACTTGACATATTCTTTATTCTTTGTCTGTGTCTCTTTTTTAGTTTTTATGACAACCTGGTTTTAAATTAGTTACAATCGTAATTTACCGTTACACATACATTAATAAAGGTCCATCTTATCTTATCTATATTTATGCCGATATGCGTATGTATTTATGCGTATGTATACTTTGGTGCAAAAATCACTTGCTTTTTAAGTGCCATGTAAATTAAATACATTTGAAACTAAGCAGCGACAATGATTTCATCTTCCTTCAGGGAGACAGTTAAAACAAAATTAACAAATCAGTTCAAACCTAACAGTCATTACTATTCCATTTTGCCCTTCGGCTTGTTTACAGAGAGAAAATAGAGATGGTGAACCTGTGTCGGCGCTGTGTGGGTGTCTCTCCTGCAGCACTGCTGTGTAAAGCTGGTTCATGTGTTTGAACACTCGGTCCAGCGTGGTGTGGAACAGTCCTGCAGACCCGCTGCATTCTGACCACAGAGCCATCAGCTGGGGCCGCTCTGCCAGGCCCGGGAGCACTGAGGGAGAGGAGGACAACACCAAGGTCAGACGCTACAAACCCTCACATCAGAGAGTCCTTTCTGTTGTGAAGTAATCATTCTTTATAAAATACTAAAATAATAAGTATAACCAGTGTTGCTGAGTAACTACAGTAGTCACATGCAAATGCATTATGTAAACAAATTACAATTTAAAATTTGATCCGTTACAGTTACTGAGACAAATTATTTGGATGGTGAATATTCAAAGGGGTTATATCCAAAGTTATTCTTTCCAGTAACAATACTATAAGTTAAATATAACAATCATTCTGTTGCTTGCATCTTTGTTCTTCTATCTTGTTTAACGGCCATGAAATTATCAAAAACAGTTATCAAAAATAAAAATCTACTAAGTGACATTACTGTGTAATCTGTAACTACATTTCAAAAGCAACCTTCCAAGCAAGAAACAACGTCGTATAAACTCTTAGATGACCTGTCTCAGATGCACTGTTGCACAGTAAACACACAAAAAAATAAAACAGTTTTCACGTGTTGCTACCTACCGTCAGCAGCAGATGTAATGGATCCCAGTTGGTCCCCACTGAGCTCTGACAGCTCTTCTAACAGCTGACTTTGGGCGGACAGCTTTAGTAGAATACTGCGACGCTGCCACAAACCCAACCCGCTGCTCAACAGCTGTCATTATAGGAAGACAGAAAAATACATGATGCAGTGAACTGTTTCATATCTAACTTTTACTTTGCATGCATCATTCATACTTCAAAAACATCTACCTGAATGAGGTGATTGCAGTACTGCAGGTGGATGACGATCGCCACGTCCAGGTTCTCATTTCCTGTGGTGAGCGGCAGGGGGCTTCCTGCCACGCTGTTGCCCACCCCGGTGTCCTCTGTCAGGGCTTCACTCAGGTGACCTCTGGCCTCTGGATGCTGGCCACTGAGACACATACCAAGAGTCACTACCAGGGGGCAGCAGCAACACACAGAACAGTAATCTATTGCACTAAATGGATTTCAATGGGGTCCTGCTATGATGCAAGATAATTCAGAATTTCTATCAAATCCTTTAGTCAATGAAGAGGCAGGCATTCAGTTACATTTAAATTATTCTGGATACTTGTTTGTGATAGCCTTACAAAAACATCTTGTTTCCTTTTTCAGTGCAGACACTTCCAATAAGCAGTTAAACCTTATTATACAACAACATGTACTTAGTGTAAATGTCCCTCCCACTCACCCGATCCTTTCTCCATCAGCATCAAAGAGCGGAGACCTCTGTGGGGGGGTGCTGAGGATGGTGTTTTCGTCTCCAGTGTCTTCGTCATCAAAGTCGGAGGTGTTGAGGAAGTCGAAACTCTCCAGAGCGCTCTCCACCGTCAGACTGAGGCTAGACGACCGGCTCCTGTGACCCGGGAGGCGGCACTTTGAAGGAGAGGGGGGAGGGAGAGGGGGTAAATACTCATTAATTTATAAACCCTTTACCATTTCTACTTTATCACTTTTAGTGAGTTAAAGAGTTACTTGTGACTTTCCTGTATGTAGAGTTATTATCTTCTTTCTTATATGTGTATCTATATTACATTAGATATTTTCTTAATCAATTATATAATAATAATAACAAATTGTATTTGTAAAGCACCTTCCATTGCTAAAAGTAATCCCAAAGTGCTACAAGGGGTATAATATACCTTTTAAAAAAAGGTTTTTAGGCCCTTCTTAAATGAGTCAGTGGTCTGTGGAGTCCTCAGATGAGGAGCAGCTGCACATATATAATAATTAAACGCCATTTTATTTATTTAAATGTTAGCCCTATATTTAAGCTTCAAGTAGTTTAAGTCATAAACTCTTATTTAATTTAACTTGTGTGATTTTCCCTATATCCATAAATATCTTTTCATTGTTGGAGGGTGCCTAAGATCCAAGAATGTCCTGCCAATGACTGCTATAATGTATTTGTTATCTTCTAACCTGGAAACAATCTAGGATTTCCTAAAATCTTGCACAGGTATACATGTAAAAGGGAGACAGAAAGGTTCAGCCACCTTGAGCAGATCCTCCAGGCGCATCACCTCCTGCTCCAGGTCCTGCAGCTCTCGGCAGCGGTGCGTCAGGGCCTCCAGCCTCATCAGCAGGCTGTGGATGGCCTCCTCCAGGCTGCTCTCCAGGAACGCTCTGCTCCCCTCGCCCGCCCAGCTCGGACTCCCCCCTCCCTCCGTCGAGCTCCCACCTGGCGACATGATTTCCGAAGAGGTCAGCCTTCTTACGAGCTGCCGGGTCAGGCTGCCCGCCTCCTCTGTGTCCAGTTCCACAGGTTTCAGCTCATCGGTGTGATCTAAGAAAACGTCCTCTGGAGCCACCGTGCACAGCTGTCCGTCAGAGCAGAGCGACGCTGAACCGCAGTTGGAATCAGAATTTCGTTGCGACTCGGTGCGCTCCCACTCCGAGTCCTCTGCCACCTCGGCTTCCTCACTGGCGAGGCTGGCACTGGTGCGCCGACTTCCTCTGCTAGCCGTCTCCCCATCCTCTTCATACTCTTCCTCCTCTTCTTCTTCTTCCTCCACTAAATGCTCCTCAGCAATGGAGTCTTCCCTTGTAGGCAGGATTTGCGTCGACGATAGGTCTATTTCTGGGGGGGTGACTGTGATCTCAGGGTTGGACTGGCCGTGGGAGCTCGGGGCCGGGCTGGGCGAGGAACCGGAGGTGTCCGAGAAGGTGAAGGAGAGGCGCTTACACTCTGCCACGCCGCAGCCGCCGTTCTCAAACATGTCGTCTGGTAGAGTGGACTGAAGGGACAGACAGCACAGTCAGTATGTGTCACAAAATAGATGGAAGATTAAGAAATAGCTTCAAATCAGTGCAGTCGAGGTAAAAAGTTCAAGAGAAAGTTGAAAAACAGATTGCAGACACTACAAATCCAGTCTCACTCCACTTTTCTTTCTGAATTAAACTGACCAGATCTAACAACCAAGATAGATCACACTTAGGTAACAAGAATACATGCAAAGAGTGCACCCTGCAGCCCACAGAAATGGACAGGACAAGCCCCAGTGTATACACACCAGCAGAAAAGACTACATCCCCATTGTGTCAATGAGGAAGGGGGCACACAAAGTCAGGTAAGGAGGGTTGAGGGGCCGCAACACACTCACATAGACCTCCAGACTGGATTTGGGCCTTGGCCGGAGAGAGGCCAGGTCACCAAACGAGCGACTGCGCCTGAGCTTCTCTAGCAGGGTTTCTCGGAGCATGTGCAGGAAGGAGAGGCGCTGGCGCTCCACGGGATATGGCCGCCACTTCTTTACACAATGCACGCAGGCATTTGGGACAAGGTGTTGGGTATTCGAGTGAGGGGCAGGTGAGTGAGATGCAGGAGGGATGGATAAACGTGTAAAGTGGGACAGAGTGTGGGTAAGGGGGTTTTGACGTGGAAATGCAAGGAGAGGAGACGAGGATAGCAGGGACACGGGGAGGGTTAGTTTAGGGGTAGCACTGGCGTTTTCTAACACAAGCATTAGTCAAGCTATTAGTCTGGTAAGTGTGCAGGGACTATGGAGGTGTAAAATACATAAAGTCATCTCTTTTACTACAATTTCACCTTGATGTAGCCTAAAACACATAAAGTGCTGATGTTTCTTTACTAGTCTAGATGATGACACTGATGAAGCTAAAGGAGTTTTACTCACGAAAAAGGAGTTCTCCTGGAAGGTGGGGGTCTCCGGTGTGCCCTGGCTGTAGACGGACACTCGTCTCTGCAGCGCTGTGGCTTTGCTCACGTTACCAGAGGACAGAGTCAGGTCCTCGACATCGAAGGGGCTAAAGGGGGAATGAAACAAGAAGATTGTTATGCCATTTATCAATGCCTACCAGCATGGTTTTGTCAGAGCGGAGGATTTGATTTGCTTAGTTATCTTCCATAGATTGTAATAACAATGTTTCTCCACCAGATGGCAGAACAACCATAAAACATTTCATTGAATTCATAGATACGACACTAATAAAGGTTATTATAGGTGTTTGCGGGCAGTTTTGCTTGCGAAGAGAGATATTGACTGTGCATGCATTTAAATTGCTTATTTAAAGTTGACTGAAAATAAATCAAATGCATCTTTTAAAGCTATATTAGCTCAAATTAGCCTCCTGGTGACAGTGGTAAATACATCTTATTTTTATCCTTGCATTGCCTCCACAGAAAACGTCCAAATTAAAAATTGTAAAAAAGTCCTGATGAATTGAAGAAAATTAGGGCAGAGTTTAAAAAAAGCAAAACTATATCAAACCATCAGTTTACAAACATGACCTGTGCATAATAATCCAAGCGTCATTTATCCAGAATGACCACATCTTCTCAAACACACACACTTTCAATAAAGACTTTCTATTTAAAACACTTCTGCGCGCAGCTCCGATTTAGTTTAATTCATGAAGAATGATCTCCACTCTTGGATATGTTGTTCACTGTGGGGTCATGCGAGAGAAGTCAAGGTAACATGGAGATATGAATTGATAAACCTATGGTAATTTTAGGGATAACGTTTTCCTTTTTTAAAGAAACCAACTAATTGAATAACTGAATAACACTTTAGTGAAGCAAACCATGATGGATAATAACATGAAACGTGACCTGCTTGCTGTACGTATTAAAGTCTACTTACTACCACGTGACCTCCAGGTTGAGTTTGATGGTCCCCAGGTCATTGACGTCCACAGCGACCACCTGAGGCATGGCAGTGAAAAGCTCCTTGGTCTCACAGATCACGCTGCCCACCAGCATGTGAGTGGCCAGGCCCTTCAGCTCTGTCACCTGATGGAGGAACAAAGACACTTTTATGTACTACTCAGACCAGGAAAACGATAATAATCTTCGTCTGACATTAAGACGTAAGTTTAATGTTCTTATGACATCAAGACGTAAGTCAGATGATTGTTGATGAATAGTTTTCTTACAATGACAAACAAACTTGCACATACAGTACAGTAGGATGAATGTCTGATTTCTATATTGTCATTTTCCTAACCATACATGGTGATAGTTTAGTGAAGTTTTTTGAATCTGGATGTCTACCTTAATGTTGATGAGGTCAGTGATGAGAGGCATGAAGATCATCTCGTCTCCGTCCCAGCTCTGTCTGGAGTTCCCTTCAATTCTTCCCTTCAACTTCCACCGCTGGCGACCGTACCGCATGAAGATCTAAAGTTAGGAGAGAATAGGAAAGTAAGCCTGAAGCCAGAGGAAGGACAATTCTTTAATGGCCTCATAAGATATACCTTATGGCAAAAAAAAAAAAAAAGTGATGTAAAAAGTATTCAGATTCTTTACTCAAGTAAAAATAGCAATACCATTACAAATCTTACTTCAGCAAAGTAAAGTATAAGCACAAAGTATACCAAAAGTTAAAGTACTCTGCCCACTTCAGAAACATATATTTCTAGTATTTGATTATAATTAATGATGCATTATGTGTTCACTACATATCAGAGGGAAATATTGTACAGTGGTGAAGTTCGCGTATAAGGTAGAATAGCAATGGAAATACAGGTATCTAAAGACCTTACTGAATTACAGTACTTGAGTAAATGTATTTAGTTACTTTCCACTACTTGATGGTTCTCGTTATATGATTCGATTCAGCTGAAATCTACCAAATTCCACTTTTTGCTAAACCTTAACTAAATGGTTTTGCAATATTTCACACAGATTCCAAGTTGCTGTAACAGCCATGTGTTACATAACAAAATAACAACTTGCCTCATACTGATCTCCAGGACAGAGCCGAGCAAAGCCTGCCAAACCTGGGAGAGAGAAGACAAATCCATTGGTTTAAAATCTTTCAAGAAGACAAGCCGAATATCTATTTTTTCTTTTTTCAGAGACTTTAGTATTTAGCTTTATTTACAATGTAGGTTTGAAGTGTAGTACACATTTCTTTGAATGGAAATCAACTACAAAGGTATGACCTTTCTGTTACATAATGATGAACTCTAAGTGTTCTAGTTGAAATAGGAGTGTGCTCCAAACAGGAGGTAGGTTGTGCAGTGATGATCAGCTGTCAGCACACAACATTCTTGCAGACAGCAGAGCATTAATGCTTATTTTTTTCCGAAATGAACCCCGGTTGTGAGTGGGTTTACTTGTCATATTCCTTACCTTTCATTCTGATATGAAACTCTCCGAGCAGGTTCTCCAGTTCGCTCTCGAACGTGCTCATGTTCTGCAGAATTGAGTGAGAGATAACACTGATCAACTAAACAGCCCTTCGTTTCGCCAGCCAAGAACAACAATAGTAATCACGTTATCTGAAGAGACTTTGACTGACAGTCTACAGTAAGCAGCAGAGGAGGCAGGACGGCCGGCGTAAGCCCTGCAGACAGATGTGTGTGTTTTCAAGATTTAAAGGTCACACTTTAAGTATGTGACAATACTGTCAGTGTTTACAAATTACAGTAAACAGTAATTTGTATCAGGTGTTTAAGAATGTTGTGGGTGTTGTCCTCTTTGAGCCAATGTTTATTGGATATTTTAGTTCAAGTAGGCTGCATCAAAGGCTTTTAAATCACATTAAAAGGTACAGGGTTCATGTACATTTTGATAGTTTTGTATATTTAGCAGTTTGGTTGAAATTGGGTACCGTTTCCCTGCTATTAGATAGTAGGTAGTTTGTTTATATGACTTTACATTTGGATTGTATGGAGCCAGTAGGGCTGCCCCCTATTTCTCTTGAGCAGTTGGCCCCTTTTAAACACTGCGATATGCCAGTACCTCTGTGTATTCCTTGTAGCGGCGGTTGACCTCTGCGATGCTGTCCTTGGTGCCTTTAGTGGAGGGAGACGAGGAGAAGGCCTGCTTCATCCGGCTGGCTCCATCCCTCAGACGGCACTGGATGCAGAAGGCCTCGTACAGCTCGTCCACCTGAAAGCACACACAGAGTACCTCCATCTTTAATAAACGTTACACAATAAAGAAGCCACTAGTATGTATATTCCATTGCAAACTCTCATGTTCATTCGTGGAAAGGGAAACTTCTGCACTAATGAAACGAAGCAAGTCTCTGAAGTTTGGACCCCTCCATACGTTGAACAGCAAAATATCCCCTGGGCGTCAGAAGTAATTAGCATTGGGTCTTCAACAACAGCAAAACTAGGCATTTAGGATAGGAAGAAATTCTGATGACATGTACCGTACTTTTCGGACTATAAGCCGCGCCTTTTTCCCTATTTTTCGACGCTGCGGTTTATATAACGGTGCGGCTAATCTATGGATTTTTACAGCTAACGGCCAACACCTTTAACTCTAT